TTAAGAAAGGACTTGTGTCGCTAAAGTTTCGTCGGAACGAATTTACGGAAAATTAATTAACTAAGGAACGGAGACGTAACAGTATATACTTTGAATGCCGTGTCAGGGTCTAATGATTTATCCGTTCAAACCACATAATGGACTTGAGTATCCATATCTGTTCTCAATGTTTTATTTCTTACACATCTGAGGTTTGCAAATAAAGGTTAAATCTAATAGAAGGCGTATTCCTACTGCTGTTTAAACTCTACAGTACAGATTTACAATGCTAAAATCCGGGGTTCGATTCCTTGCGGTAGACACGGCAGATAGCCCATTGGGGCTTTGTTCTACAAAACAAAAAACTGTTACTATACATTTTACGATTTTAACAATATAATATGGGTCTTTTGTGAGTGAATCTTTTTATTTGTCTTTATTGTCTGAATAGCTGCATGAAAATATCATCAAAGGTAAGGGGATGCCATCGTTCCTTTATATGATAAAATTAACTTGATATTTGTGCAATCATTATAGATAAATATATATTGATATATCTGTTTCTTTCCTGGTATAAAAACTAACATCTATGACGTATCATCAATAATCATTTTATTAAAATTTATCTATGGACGAGAAAGATATCGTTAAAAATAGCAAACTACAGTTCACTGTTCATAATTTATATGTAATGTCATTTTAAGTATACAGGTATATTTTCACTTTAATTATTGTATTCATGTCATCACGACTTAAGTTGACAATAGAGGGCTGATGACTTAACTCTTCACCCGGTATTGATATTAAATTAAGCTTCACACGTTGTCTTCTTTTGATTTTCATTTATGTGAATTGGATATCTAGTAGGCTTAAAACTGTGGGTTTATCAATGTTTATAGTAATATTTAAGAAATATATTTATATTTTTACGTTACTGATGATGTGCATTAAACTTCAGTTTATTTCTCTTTGTGTTCTACTACTACTAGCACTAGTAGTCTAGTACTACTGTGAAAATGTTTAATTGTAGTCGTAACTCATATAACTTAAGTTAGTAATACTACTATAGTAATAGTATTATACCGTACGACATTGATAATGTGGGATTCCTGAAGTAGTTGCAATTGTATGTACTATTGCTATGAGGATAAAATGCGAGTAACACTAACAGTAAGCTAAGGATACAGTACTTATCTTTAACAGCTTAAGATTTTAACCTCAGGTTGGCTAACTAAGTAGTACTACTAATAGTATTAGTACTAGTTAGCATGCCACTGAAGTGAAGTGCTACATTAGTTGATAAACTGTTTAAATAATAATATAACTTAAAGTTTAAATTAACAATAACTTATTTGTCTTAAGATTGGAGAAATGGTATAAATCAATTGATTTATGCTTTAAAATTGGTCTGATGCTTGTATGTTAGATATCCAACTTGTGAGTTCTAACTATAAGTGCACATGCACAGTTTCATTAGATTATCTAAACATAAAGTGTGATTTAGGTTATAAACTAGTTAATGAAAAATTACATAATATAGAATAACTATTATAATGATAAAATTTTCACACACAAGAATCACCTGTGTGATGGAAAGCTGAATAATTAAATAAAGAATTAGTGCTAGGCTGGCTTGCTAGGAATAAATTTATTAATATGAAGACTAGCATTAATATTAATATGATTCAAAAATTAATAATTTCACTGACAGGTGCTTGTTCTAGCTCTTTTTAATATTTTTATTGTGTTGTACTTTATATTTTTTTAATCTTTAAATCCAGTAATCAGTTAAGTTAAACTTAAGGAAGCTTAATTAACATGCTTTTAATTTATGTTTAGAGTTGTTGCTCATACTTTCACAGTTTTGCAGTTTTCTATGTTACACCGTGTAAAACATGTTTTGAGACTTACTAACTTAATTATGACATGGAGCATGTTGAAGTTGTGAGATTACTGAAAAAGTATATGTGTAATTTTTTTGAAAACTGTTATTAGAATTAATAAACTCAAAACTGTTTGGGGGAATCACCATTGGTTTGACGTAGAAGTTTATGAAACTCTTATAATATAAAAAATATCTTAAGAAGGATGAATTGTTAAAGAAGTGTAAAAATGAAAAGTTTAGTATTTTGTTATGAAAATAATATATATTTTTTTCCTACAGAAAAATATTACATGATTTTCATCATCAGAAAGGAAATGTAGGATGAAAGAATATCTAAGAGTAAAAAAATCAGTGAACCTAAAATGTAACTTAAAAATTTGTAAGTTAGGACAATGGTTCCAAAGCCAGGGCCCACAGGAAGAGATTGTAAAAAATATGCAAATTACATAAAACTTCTAACATATGCAGTATCTATAGATTCATTGAGTGGGGGACCTTGTGTTGAGAAATATTGGGAACTCGTGCATGAGGGCTCAAAAAATTAAATGTTGATCAGCTTTGAAATCATCACACATTTTAAAAGATATTAAAGAGCATATATCTCTGATTAACTTTTTACTCCTGATATTAAATCTTGTATTTCCAGCTATTTTATTTCACAACTCCAACAGATCATTTATAGAAAATATGAACAACCTCTTAATTCTGTAACCATCAACTAAGTCGCACATTTATATACTCTCCCGTGAAGACAAGTTCAAAGTAAGAAGTGGGTTTAAATTTTTGCATTTCTAAAGGGTAGTTGTGCAAAGACAACATTAAAGAAACAAATTAACCCTTGTTGTTCATTGGTTATGTCATTTTAATATTCTTCCTGAAATTCTTCCATCATTTAGTAAAGAATCTGAGTTACATGTACTACTACTTTTGGGGATCTCAAACTTGGTAACAATAACCTTGCTGCTAATTATGAAACTGTTTCCACTGCAGCTAAATACTAAGGGCTTTAATCAAGTTACTCCAAAATCGTTTTTTTCTTTAATTTCCAGAACAACAATGCTTTTCTAACACAACAAATCTTTCCCAAATTATCATATTCTAAGTATATAACTCTAATATGATCTAACTAATTAGAGTTATGAGAATAAAATTAGTTTCACTTGTGTTTTTTGAGTTTTAGAAATACTGGAAATTATCTAATTAGCATGTTAAAATTTCTAAGAGCTCAATTAATTTGATATTATTAAGCCTACTTTGCAGTCTGTGTTGGGCTTCATTGGGTTATCCAGTCAAAAGACACTTCACTTTGCTAAAATCTTTGTTCTTTTGTGATCAATATAAGAATGAAATATGAACTTTTTGGAAATGATTCAAGGTATTCTTTGGAAAAGCTGTACAATAAGAACAATTTTTACCTCTGGAATGTAGTTGTGAAGTTGTTTTTGTGTTTTAATACAACTAAATTATGTGGAAAATCATACTAGTGTATTCCAAGTACAATTTGTGTACTATTAATAAAAGCCAAACATTGTAACTCATTTGTATGTAAATTTTTAGCATACCTAATAAGCTGACATTACTTGTGTTTAGTAATTGAAATTTCTTAAATCAGAGAATTTGAAGATTTTATTTCTAGATGTTAACTTTTGATATGAAAATAGAGGTACTCTTAAAAATGTACCATTTTAATCACGTAAAAAAAAATTTTGGAGAACACAACTAGCCCTTTTTTATAAACATATGCCTTACAAAACTTCAAACCCTCTCCATAAGAAACAATTCAGCTTATTAGGATTGAAAATGTTTGCACTCTTATAGAAGACTTAAATCAGATTGACTGCACATTTGAAAAGCTATCAAAGTAATGAATTAATCATGTTTGAAATCTATAAATGTTTTCTGAAAATTTTTGTTAACATACTCTTTACTTTAACATGAACTGCACAGCAATGAAAATGCTACTGTTACTATCTGTACTTACTACACTATCTCTTGTTGTTGGAGTTGACAGAGGAAACTTTAAATCATGTGACCAAAGTGGATTCTGTAGGTAAGTTGAAAAAATTTGAAGATTATTGTGCCTAATATCTTTAAAAAAATAAAATGCAAACAATTTTGTACCTTAAACTGACAGTAGTTCCCAAAACGTTCTGTTTATTTCATCCAGAAATTTCAGTACTTTCCAAAACAGAATTTACTTTAAACATCCCCAGTTTCTGGTTTAAATTTTTTTCTCATTTATGGACCAACATGTACTTGTAGTTGATAACCTCATAATTAGTGCTGGGCAATCAACTTGATTAGTCGATATAATTGATTATCTGATTTTTGATTACATTGATCAGTGTCACATGAAATAATTGATTAATCAATTATCAACAAATGTTTCTGATTACTACTGCTTTTGATTATTCCAATTAATCAAAATTAATGTTACAATTATTACAACTGTCCAATAATTTAAATATTGAAATTATGATTTTTAAGGATAAAAGGATGAATGACATACTATTACCTTTATTAATTCTGTACTTATATTTGATTGGTAAATCTTTCTACTGGCTGTACTAAATCAGTTAGCATCCAGATAAGGAGTTGATGAAGTTCTGTGGTTCACATTCCATTAGCAGTAAAAAAATAAATCATGCTCTGCACTTTGGTGCTGTGGGTGCATTATAAGAGTGATGGTTAAAATCTCACAATTTTTCCGACAAGAGTAGTCCAAGAGTTGGCAGTGGATGGTGTTGACTACCTCCCTAATCTATTGCTTGAAAATAACTCTTATTTAGTTTGCAGTAAATCCAACAAAAAAACAAATGACCAAATGAAAAGTACTTTTAGAATGTGGAGTTTAGTATAAAATGCATGGATGCAAGTCACACACCGCTCTCTGTGACATCTAACCTTTTAACAACATTTAACTTTTTTCTTTTAGTCTCATTTTAAGCTATGAAAAATATTGTAAAATTATTTTCAAATTTCTTTTTTCAGTATTTTATTCAACCATTTTTACTTAAGAATTAAAATTTTTATAGTTGCTACATTATACAATACACATGAATCTGTTCCTAGCAATTCTTCAGTGAATAACTTAAATAAAAACTTCAACATATTTTAATTACATTCATTCATTTCTTTCCTTCATTAATTGTAGTCCCCCAGTGGGAAAGCAGTAAGTCTACGAACTTACGGTGCTAAAATCGAGGGTTCAATTCCCCGCAGTGGACACAGCAGATAGCCGAATGTGGCTTTGCTCTAAAACAAACATGTCAAACGTTTCATTTATTGTAAACAAATTAATAATAACTTGGCTTAATATGTCTGCTTCTCTCATAAAGTTAAAAATAGTATTGAAGTACCTAACAAAAAACCACAGATAATAAGAAATTATTACCAAGTTGTTGATTTCCAACTAGTATTTCAAAGCCATATTCTAATGCTTGAATTCACATGATAAACATGTTATTCAGTGAAATACACTAGGTCTTGGTGAATTTTCATTAAAAAAAAAGTGTGCTTTTCATATATTCCTTTACATTTGTGATTAACCATCACAGAAAAGATTGGCATAGCATTTCAACTTCTAATAACTATCAAAATACCCTAAAAGAAGTCCAAATTGACATAGTTATGCAAAGACTTAATTTCGAACACTTGACCATGAGCTTATAAACACATATCAGCAAATAGAATATTGGTTACTGTGGCATTACTAAAATGGTTGTTGCTGAAAGTCTACATGGGTTTTACATAATTCTTCTTCACACAGAAAAGACTGTGATTGGTTCACCTTCAAAACATTGTGAACTTTAAGTTGCACAACACTAAAATGCACACCTTGCAAAATAAAAAATAAGGTCACGGGTTTTCTTGGAGCAAAATGGAGATGACCATTCTTAACACTCACTGGATTAAGTTGCTACTCTGACTTATAAATGTAAAAGTTATTTGGCAAACCCTGGTTTTAATTGTATTGAACCCGGGTGGTGGATCATGATTAGGGAAGACCCAAGAGGTAAGTGAAAGCCCTTGAAGCTTAATATTTAAGTGAATTGAAAAATCTTATAAATGCAACAGTGTCTTATCAACTGTTTAACAGTGGAAACTTTTAAGTATTGTTCTTATTCTAGTCATTACATTATGTAAATAAAGTTATGTACAAATTAAATATTTTACTTCCTGAATAGGCGCAATAGAAACATGCAGCCTGGAGAATCCCCATACTATCTGCTTATGAATAATTTGAAGGTTTCACCAACAAAAATAGAAAGCCGTCTTGCTAATGCAAAAACAGGTGTTCTGTATACACTGGAAATCAGTGCCTTGATGGATGGAATGTTGCGAATGAAAATTAATGAAGCAACTCCAATCAGACAAAGGTTTGAGGCAACTGAAGCACTAAATGGAGAACCTAAAGAGACCAGGTGAAGTTTAATTAGTAAATTACATTTTGTTTAAAGCAAAGAAATACCTCTTACCAGAAATTGATGAAATTTGTTGAATTGTGTAACATTGAATTATATTCTAAGAAATCATGCTGCTTTTAAGGGGAAACAAAACCCTAGTAAAAATATTATCTGTTTTATATCTTTAAGAATGGTTTTCTGTAAGAGCCAATATTTGAAGGTTAAAAACTAAAGGCATACATACTAATAGTTTATATCCTAAATAATTTTTTAACATGTTTTTGAAAAAGTTCATGTTTTCCAGCAGCAGTGTTTCTTTAAGGTCTTTGTGTGAACAAACCTGCTTGGTAATTATGATAGTTTTATGTGACATCATATAGGAGGATGTCAAATCAACTGCAGTCACACTGTCCCCCAGTCATCAGTTTTTCCACCAAATTACACAAATAAATAGACCCTAGTTGCTTAAAAATATATATATATATATATATATATATATATATACTGAGAACATAATGTTAAAATTAAATTCACTAATTGTGATGTTTTAAGAAGTAATTTAATATATTTGAATTTAGTTTTAAGGAATTTGTTTTTTTGCTTCCTTGATCTGGAGTATGTAAGTGGGTCCATAAGTTTCAGTCATTTATCATGTGGTATTAGTTGCAATTCAACTTTTATCATTATGTGTTTACTTTTTTACTGTAATGCTGAAAATTTATTTCATAATATTTGTTTGGATAGTGGAGGAAGATCCACTAAAAATTGTGTTCAGTTTTATTATGCTACTAAGTAAGCCTACTTACTTATTTTGAATGTTTTTCCTGTTGTCAAATGTGTTTATATTATCCTGGCTAGTAAGGTTTTCATATATTTGTCAAATCCTGCTAAACATCCATTAATGTGATTTCTCAAGTTTGAATTTTATATAATCATTTTCAATCCTAACAATGTGTGTCAATAATGATTGTGTGAGTAGTACATTAAAGGCTGACTAAGCATTTTATATTAACATGTTTCAGTACATGTACAAATGAAATATTTTGCTTGCTGAAGAGGTGCAACAGAAACATGCAACATGTTATTAAAGTTCTTCACCATGATGTAGTTATAGATGGAAACATCAGCTTTAGAATGATGTTGCTGCATTTTATTAATCAAAATACTTGATGTGCACTAGGAAATTTTTAGATTCTTCAAGCATGCAGTTGGTACAGATGATTAGGTTTAAGTGATTGGCTGTAGGAAAGGAGCATTGTTTTATGATTCATGTTAGCCAGGCTACCATTGTGTGAATTAATCATGGTGTTATTTTTGAACTTCAACAAATCTGACATCCATGTTTCTAAGTCACAGTGTATCAGTAGATTTTCAATATTAGCTATTTCAGATGTTTAGAGACCACTGAAATATTACTAGATAATAAATGAAAATAAAGTAATTAAATGAAATAATAACGTATATAAAGTAATAAAACTAAGATCAGTTGGTGTGGATTTTGAGTTTACCACACAACTGTATTAAATTTTAACTCTTATTCCATATAGGGTTAGTTGATGTGATCAACCTTGTAACCACAAAGTAACCATCAGAGTTTCCATTCTATAATTTTTAGTATTGTATATGTATTTTCTTGAAACTTGGCAAGCTTTTAATAAACATTACAAGTTTTGTACACAAAAAAATCAGATTTTTTATCTTAAGTATTTTTACTAAAGTTTTATCCATCCATGAATATATGATATCAGAGTGTTGACTGTTCTGAGTGAAATGTGATTTTCATAGTTAAGATTCGAAATACTTTTCTTAATCTGTAAATTTTCAAATTTTATCTGCATAGCTTCTAAAATTTCCTATATAATTATCAAGCATTTGTTTGTTGTTTTTTCAGTAAAACTTTGTATTTTATCTGTCATCTTCTCTACCCTAACTCTGTATGGACTCTGTCAATATGACTGACCTTGTAACCACCTTAAAAAAAGAACATGAAATAAATCTTAATTACACCTTCTTTTTTTTTTTCTTTCTAGAATGACTTCAGATTTTAACCGAAAACTACAATCATTTATCCTAAATACTTTAAGGCTTCTAACAGTTTTTTTTCTAACAACTTCATTTGTTTCTACTTAATTTTGTTTTATTGCCCTTTGAACTGTCTAACTGATAAATCTGTTATACAAGTTGTAAATCACTCGACAAGTGTGTAGCCCACATTACGATATTGAATGGCATAACACGTGATCTGCACACGAGCATACCTCTTGAAGAATTTTTTATTGTTATTTTTCATTATCTTACCTAATCTAAGCTTATTTAGCCAAATAAGTTTCTATACTTTACATTTTAGTTACTTTTTATAAATGGAAAATATACATGAAAAACAAGAAATATAGTTCTTACTTTTGACCTCTGTTTTTTGCTGTGGGTTGCCAATGGCATTTAAGCCTACTTTTTTATAATGATGATACTAGTACATTAAATAATTTTATTATTTACTTAAATAATGTACCCCAAAACACATAATAATAACATGTGCAAAGCAAACAATGTCCATTAACTGTTTTAATTTAACTGGCTTAAGTATGTCAAGGGGATTAATAATTCCCTTAGCTACTCAATCTGAACACCACGATATAAGCTTTCAATTTGAAGATGAAATTGACAATACTCTGTACTGAAAACAAGGTAGCATTAAATATCATTCAACATATTAAAACTTTGCCTTTATATTGATCATAAATGGTATAAAATGTCATAGAGAATTATTGCAAAGTTGTGAAAGAGAGGATGTGACAGGTGGGTGGGTCTGATTTTATAGTTTTACTCCATAAACAAAGAACATTGAAGGCTATGCAAATTAGAGTTTGCCTTAGTAATATATTTATATATATATATATATATATATATATATATATTGTTATGAGT